AAACGTACATTAAAATCAACAGCCTAGATGGACCATTTAAATTCCAAAATATAAAAACTAAAAAAAAAAAGAACTCTTAGAAAGAACACTTACAAAATATAAAAATAAAGAAATATCAGTGAGTGAATATGTAAAATACATGGCTTTTTACTTAAAAAACTAGATTTATATATTATTATACTAAAATTTTTCACTCATTATATACACTACAATTTTACTTATATATTTTTTATTATATTTTTACACATTTTTACACTTATAAATTTATATAATTACATTTATAATTATTTTATTATCAATATTATAACATTTTAATTACATTTTTCATTTAAATAACGAATTTCATACTATGAATAATAATATGAAACTGAAAATAATTTTTGAAGGATAATGAAAACCGCCTCGTGGTGTCCTCTGGGTAATGCTAAATGTTTCTCAAAAATATTATAAGAAAAATGATGGTTTTTACACCTAAATCATTTTCACCTGAAAAAAATCGGGGCCGAGTTTACATCTAAATAATTTTAACCTGAAAAAAACCCGGGCCGAGTTTACCATGAACCTTTTGGAAATGTTTTTTCCTCGGGCCGAGTTTACAATCTCCCAATATGTCTTATACCTAGACTGACATACCGTCTCCGCTCAGAATCGTTTTTCTTATACAATGATATTATATCATTGAATTCAAATTAAATACCATCCATTATACAGTGACCCCCTTGTAACCTACTGTACAGCAGAGCACCTTTTTTTTGTTTGTGTCTGAATCTATAGGTAATCAAAAAGTAGTTGAAAAAATGCTTTTCATTCAAGTATATTTCAAATTCATCAAGAAAATACAAAAAAAATAAGGAAAATGAACATTCTTAAGTGAAACCAGATTTTACAAAATCGATATTGCTTAAATAGTGTAATTAAAACACGAATAACTATAGATACTTGAAATGTTCAATATATATTAATTATAGTAGAATTTTCAGTACACGATAAAATTTACATTTACATTTAACTATTTTGATTTTAATTCAATATAATTTTGTTGCTTGTTCAAAAAATTTGATAATTTAATACAAGGTAATTCATAAGTTGAATAAATATTTTAAAAATATCGAATATACAATAAACATGGTCATAATATTTTTAAATAAGCATTTAAAGTAAGAATCTTGACAAAATTCATCAAAATCGGGAATAATTAGAAATTATTTTGTAATTTGAAATGCATACACATTTGATAAGTTTCTCTTAATTTAAGATTCTGAGTGGAACTATGAATGTATTGATTTTACAATGATGTGTGTTTTTTAATTTTTGTTTCTGTGTACTCGATTAGTAATCGAAAACTTGCTTAGATTATCAATAAAAAATTTTGAAAAACAACATAAAAATTAAGAAAAACGGGTATTTTTACGCAAATTCGGTTTCTGACAAAAATCGATTTTGGCTTTGGTGTAGCTCTAAAACAAAAAATCGTAAAAACATAAAATTTTCACTGAATGTTTATATTACCCTTTTCTATACATGAAAAAATTTTGACTTGTTTTAAGCTGTTTACGGATATACTCAGTTTTCAACTTTTTTAGGTTTTTTTTCTATGAATGTCAATAAAACATTCTTTGTTAGGTAAGAAACTTGAATATTTAATATAAAGCTCCTACTATGTTGTTACAATGATGTTTGAAAAATATTAAAAAACCTTAGCCACAGTTTTTTTTTATAAGCATTTAAAGTTTAAATACTGACAAAATATAGAAAAAACAAGAAAATTAGCAAATTATGTTGAGTTAAAAAATTCATAAAAAATTTTTTTTTAAACCTTAGATTTGAAAAAATAATACAAAAATTTTCACAAGTTTTTCTTCCTTTATCAACAAAAAAATGTCTACAAGAAACTCAAATTAAGTTTTTAAGAGCGTTGGAAGTTTATATTTTTACAAAATTGGATATTACCGATTTCTCTTGTAGCGATTTTCTTATTTGGTTGTAAATCAAAAACGAACCACTGTAGACGAATAGAAATTTGACTGAATGTTTATATTTTCATTTTCTATATACCATAAAATTTTGAAAATATTTTGTTTTTATTGACGTGTTTACGGACATTGTCGGTTTTCAAATTTTTTAGTTTTTTTTTCTATAAATATCAATAAAATTGTATTTGTTGTAAAAATGTAATAAATGTTCAACATTTATAGCTAATTATTGAAAATTTAAAATAAGGGTCCATGTAAATATTTAAATATATAAATTACTTTATTTACAATAATATCATCAAGTATACTTAGTAATATCATAGGCTGACCTAACCTAACCTAGTTCCTCATTAGTTGATATTAGTGTGATGATAAAAATAAATAGTTTCACAATAATTTTTTATGATAATTTGAAGTATGCATATCGATAAAATTCGTCAAAATCACTAAAATTTGCAAATTATTTTAAGTTTGAAATTAATCAATAATATTCAAAATTATATATTTTATATCAAGATTAAAATATTTAATTCAAGATTCCTTATATATTATTTTTAGACATTTGAAACTTGGTTAAAAAGCTTGTAGTAATTACATGTAGTGTACCTATTACAATGTAGTAAGTTCAAGGTTACTCATTAGTTGTCATAATAGTCTTTCACAAATAGTAATGCTACTTTGGGACATATTTTTGTCATAAGCATTTAAAGTAAAATATATTAAAATAAATGTTTCTGGCAAAAATTAATTCAACTTACTGTTTTATTAGTAGTAAAATAAATTGCTATGATAGCAATTACCATTTAATAAAATATATACCTACTTAGGTATAGTAATATTGGACTGTCATCGCTCTAAGTCGTTTTTCTTATACAATGATTTTATAAACTTTAAAGTTAAGTTTAACCCATCATCAATTACAGTGACCCACTCAACACCTACTGCAGTACAGCAGACTGACCCACTTGCCAACCTTTTTTAGTTTGGTATTCAGGTTAAATTTTGAACATTAGAAGTTATATGAAGGGTAGAGTTGGAAAATTTTAAATTTATTATAAAATTATTATGTTTATCACACAGTTTAAAATTTAAATAAAGGGTTCTGCTGTATAGTAGGTTTTGAATGAATACCTCTACATTGATAGTTGGTCACTCTAACGGAAATTATGTTAAGCTTATAAATTAAAACTAATTTTACTTCTAATTTATTATCTTATTAATTTCTAGCCTTGGATGACAGTAATGGTGGGCGTATTAAATTTAAATTTAAGTAATCAATAAAATTCCTAGGTATAAATATATATAACTATATCTTAGAATAAGTCTAAATATTTAAAAAAAATTCATTGAATATAAAAATGATAATTTAAGTGGTAGTGAAATGTTTCAAGTCTCTGCGATTAATACTTTTTGAGTAACAACCATGGGCTGGAACCAAAATTAAAATAACTGGTTCTTTAACCAGAACCGAAACTGAAACCTATATTTTAATGAATTAAATATCATAACCGAACCGTAATTTTTTAATCAAATAGGTTCAAAAATAAAATAATTTTATCTATCATAATTTAAAGGTATTACGGTTTTGTGTATAAACTATGTACTATGATCATATGAGTTTTCTAATATTATTCATACCTACTATTAATTAAAACCGCATTCCGGATAGGTATTTAAAATTATTATACTTTTCGGGACCTAAGTTAACTGGAACCGCCACCAAAATTATTTGGAATCGATACCTTTATTTTTTTTTATCAAAAAACCAGAACCTAAGTGGAACACCTATTTTATTTTTGGAGAACCAGTACCGGAATCGATACCGATAAATTCAAAAGGTTCCAGTCTCTGATTACAACAAAACAACTAAAATAGTTTCATAATTGATGTATTTACTATAATAAATGAAATAATTTTAAAACTTTTAAGCTTCAGATGCTCATAAACAATATTTGGTGATTTTCATGAATTTTGTAAGAATTTTAACTTATTTAATACTTACCTATAAAAAAATACTGTTACTATGTATTTTCAATAATTTTTTGATTTCTATTAAGTTGTATTAACTATTAATAGTAACATTTATGATAGACCTCAAATATAGTCAAGATGCCACGCTGGAATTCGAATAGTGGGTATCGCTGAGAACCTTGCCATCGCTGATGAGCCTCCAGCCTACCTACAGGTAGCCTCTCCAGAAGTTCGCCTGCTCCATCAAGCCGACTATTAGCATTGAGTATAGATAGTATAGACAGACCATCTTGCCTATATTATGATACGTAATGAATTAGTTCACTAGAACTGTCAATAGAGCGCGCACCGCGTTATAAGGAAAATATAAAAATCATAATTATAATTATAATTATATTATAAATGTAAATGTAATTGTGCAGTTGACACCTCTACGTAATTTACGTTTCATCATCATCATCTATACTCAATGCTATTTATAGGTATGTAATGATGTAACTAGAGGCTGCATCAGGAGGTTTAGATAACCCCTTGCAGATTTTTTTTCCCATTTTTACAAACTATTAGGACTGCGTTTATATGATAATGTCTTATTAATATAATGATTTCATTAAAAAACAAATAACATTTTAATTCTAATAATATTTATTTTATATTCGATATTTTAAATATTAATTGTATTTGTGTAGATAAATAACTATTGGTTTATACTCAAATAACAACAGTTATAATAATAGATAGGAAATTTAGAAATATGTTTTCCCATGTACAATAAATAATAAATATTTATATTATATAAAAAAAAAAAATGTAATATTGTATAGGTAATTATTCTGTATACAAATTAATGTGTAAAAGCTAATAGCCCTAGCTAGTATAGCAACAATATTTACTCATGTTCATTAACCTAACTCTAAGACTAATAGTATTAAATATTTATGAATCGGTTATCTCATAAATTTCAATAAACACAACAGTGTTAGTGTCAGTGCTGTGGCCGCTTAAAGCTTTGGTCGGCGGCGGCATTGTCGTCGCACCAACGGAAGCCACGACGCCTCAGACGACATCGCTTCCGGTACCGCCTGCACGCCTGAGCTCTTTACTCTTTGGACGATTTTCGGTGGCGTACACGCTGAACTCGTCCGTCTCCTGCTTCAGTTGAACCAAGGCCGTTATAGATGCCTGGGCCTCGGCCAGCTGAGCAGTGAGGTTGTTCACTAGTGCCTGGGCGTCGCGGACGACTTCGCGCTGCTCAGCCAGCTGGCGGGTCGCCGTATCGGCCGCCGCCACGGACTGACGGTACTCGCAGTTGGCCGCGTTCATCCGGTTGGCCACTTCGAACAGCACGGCTGTCGATCGTTCTCGGTCGTCCGTGGCCGCGACCAGCTGGCCGTCCAGTGACCGCACGTTCAGCGCCAGTTGATCATCGAGGTTCTGGCTGGCGATCGCTTCGTATGTTAAACAATCGATGAGCTGTCGTTGCCGCTCAGCAGAACACTCACTTTCCACGCACGGCACCATCACGTTCGGTTGTTTCGGAGATGAACCTTTTTTCACGTTGCAGCTGCTGTTCAACATACACAGCACACATGGATAAGCGACAAGGGGAACGGATTAATAAGGCGCATAATATACGTATAAGCAGTGTGGGAAACGGGACAGTCGTCGACCGTGAATTTTGAAGAACCGTCTGCGATTTTTTTTTTTTATATCAATAGGTACATTTATACATAAATATCAAGATTTTTCACTGCCTATATTCTAATTAATAATGTTGCTATAATATATATTTTAATAATTAACTAATTCATTATACATACCCTACTACTTCTAAGAGTATTGAACAGTATCTATAGATATGTGTAAATTAAATTATATGTGTAATAAATTAAGCTCGGAGTGTTTCGTTATCGAAATTTCGTTTGAAAGTTATGAAAATTAGACATTCACAATTTGTGTTTCTATACTAAGTATAAATGTACGACTTGTAGCCCGGATTCCATTTTAAGAAATCCGGCACCACTTCTATATGGGTTCCACCGCCACGTCATATTATTATCTAGATTCAATGGGTATTAGCTGACCAAAAATTGCCGAGCTCCTCTTCAGAATACATCACATACATACAGAAATATAACAAACTAACAGTAAAATAAAACAATAGTTTCTTGAAAATGTATTATACAATTATACATTGGAGCTGCCATCAGTAACACTTACCCTACACGATGATCGATAAAAATATATCGAAATGGGTATTTTATCGAACACCACAATTCATTTTAATAGAGATTTATTAAAATTAAATCCACTCCTGGAGTACCTATATGGCAGGTGGCTATAATGCTATATAATATAGAAACAATATTGAAAAGATTAAAATCTATTATGTAAATACTTAATAATATATTGTTGTAGTCTATTCACAAGGACGTTGTTTTTGTTTTTATAAATTATAGATACCCAATAGTAATACAGTGCAGAGAAAATAAATTTTAAAATTTAAAAACCAATAGAAATAAATTTAATTACACGTAAAACTTTCTATAATATTATATTATAATACATGAATTAAAACATCCCATTATATTATTGACTAGTTGAATAATTGTTATTGTAATTATGAGGTATGTAGGTAGTATAATATTATAATATAGTAGTGACATTTTGGCAATTAACAATTTATAAATTACTACTACAAATACATTAAAAAAAAAAAAAAATAAGTATTTGTATAATATGGTTTTAATGGGTGGGCTCGGCGTGGCGTGGCCCAGTGGCTGAAATCAATCACGCGAAGTGATTGAGAGTAAGCAACAGCCTATAGTTATCGGATGGGTGTCCACCCGGGTTCGTGTGTTCCTAACCAACCGTACCAACAATCCGAACTCAATTGTACCAACCCGAACCCTACCAACCTTAAAGGATAATGACGACAGTCAGCCTTAAACCTAATAAAAAAATTATTAAACAGTGAAGGACTATTAAAAAAAAAATCATATTGCATACGAGTCTGCAGTGAAGTACCACATTTTAGGTCTTTGTTGACCTGGCTATCATATGTAGCACATACCTAGGTAATATTGTTATATTATAATATTATAATATTAATGCAGTCGCACCTAACTATCGTGTGATAAGCGCGTATATCGAGTTCAAATCTCGGATGAGAAAAATGAAATTTTTCATTTTTTTTTTTTCGTAACGTAACACTTTAAGTAACTTAACGTTTTTCGATTTCTAATACACTGATTTCAGGGCAACCAATAATTATTATTATGATAGTTTTAAAACCCATGGAAACCATAAAATGTCAATAAAGTAACGTTTTTTTGTAACGTAACGTTTTTTGATTCTATGTGCCAAAGCAAAGACATAAAATATAAAAATAAAAATAGTTATAATAGTTTAGTGATCATCGCATATTATTGTGATACAAAATACGTATAGATTGAATATAGTTATCTTATAATTTATGAGTTTATTTAGAACAAAAATGCCTAATAAAATAAGTAGGTACTCTAGGTATTATATTATATATTATTATTAATTGACAAAAAAATTAAACTATACTTATATAACCAGGGATGGAGAACGTTTTTAAAAACGTTATTTATCTTTGTTTTTTTTGATTACCTAAAGTTTTTAAAAAAGTTATATTTCCATATTGCTTTTGATTAACGTTTTCGATATTAATTTTTTTTCTTTATATTATATTCTTATAACTTATCTTATAACTTTTAAATTTTAAGTTAAAATAGTAATGAACTTAAAAGTTAAAAGTTAAAAAAAATTATTATGTATATAAAAAAAAACAATATTATCAAAATATTATTTGGAAACAATAGGAAAATTACGTTTTTAAAAAAGTTAATCAAAAATAATATATATTATAATTAAAATTTTTTTAAATGTTAAAAGTACATTGGTAAAGATTAAAAAGTAAAGACTTAAGGGAAATTTTTTTTAAAAATAATTTAATTTAATAATGTATTATATACTATAATTTATTTTCGTTTTTCCGTTTAATAACGTTGTTTAAAAACGTTTTCCATCCCTAAATATAACTTTTCATCTGAAAACCAAAGATCGACAATACATAATAGGTACTATACTTTTGCTGCGCGGCTGCGATTTGTACTCGAGACAAGCCGCATAGATTTTCGATCGGGGGCACTGATGTTATGTTATACAAGGAGTATATAAATTCCGACTGTCCAATGTTGAACACTGCTGCAAACAACATCACCACAACAAGCCACATAATCTTCGTGATAAATGGTGTTTAAATATTTAATTTATTCACAGATTTAAACGTACACAAAATTAAAAATGTAATTGATCGAATAAATATTATTTTTCAAATTGCTATGGGAAACAATCAGCTTACGTCTTAATAATTATAAGATGTACACATTTCGAGTTTATTAATGAGCTAGAATAAAATGTTTTCGATATATTACCAAAAATCACAATAGTTAATTTGTGAGACCTGACATCCACATACAATAAACTACTACCTACTATTGTGTCACGATCAACCTAAAATGTCAAAATGTGTTTAAAACTTTAAAACATAATATTATGGTTTGATGCATTTAGCTTTTATAATTTTTTATTATTACATTATATTATTTTTACTGAATTTTTTAATAATGATATAGTTATGATAATGATAAATTCATGATCAATTATAATATATATGTTAAAAAACTTTTTTTTTTATTTATTTTACAGTGGAGGTAGGTATTAGTTTGTTTTTAAATTGTATGATAAATATAATATGATACGTTTTGATTTTCATCTTCACTTAACTTCTAACTTAATTGATATTTCACGCAAAATGTATTCACTATTATTTATATAGATACTAGCTATTGAGTATTATTGACTATAGATAATATACCATTATGTTTGAATGAACATACTTATTTAGTATTCTATAAAGCAGGGATCGAAACTGTTTCAAATTTGAACGGTTGTATAGAATTATGGTTTCGGTTTTTGAGAACGGTTTTCTACATTTTCTGTTTTGGTTTAGGTTTTAAGAAAGGTTTTTCAAATTTTTTGGTTTTGGTTTCAAAACAATTTTTTCAAATTGTTCGGTATAAAGAATGGTTTTTAAAAATTTTAAGTTTTGGGTTTTGGATCGGTTTTGGATCGGTTTTTGAACATTTTGATTTTATTTTACTGTACTCAATAATAACTGTAGACCCGATTTTTATTATCTTGTAACTATTAAGGGCTGAGTCTAACGCCCTAAAATTTGTCCGATTTGTACAATTAGTGTAGGTACATACAATATATCAAATTTACGTTCAGCAGAACTGATTTCGTGTTGTTAACTTTAATATTATGCTGAACCTACTTGCATACAACATTATGGTTGAGATCATTATTCGATTACTTTAATATTTAATTGTAATTTATAATATAATGACACTATATTACAGTATAACAAATCTCTTCTCTTGTTATTGCTTATGATATTTGAACAAAATATTAATTTAAATGGATACTAAAAAAGTGTATTGGACTATTGAAAATATGGTTATTTAAAAGGTTTACTGTTAACACATTTGTAATTTAGGGGACAAACTGAGAAGACTGATAATGACAAATTACATAAGCGATGGATGACTACTGGACGGAAGCGAATCAGTCGATGAAACAACTTTGTAATAACATTGATAAATAATAATATACACAATTACTTAAAAAAACAACAATAAAGACGTGCATGATGGCCGCGTAAGGGCGAATAAAATAACAATATTGTACTTAAATAAAAAATACCTACAAAATGGTAATGCAGAATACTTTTAAAATGCATTAAATATTCAAAATTGTATTAAATTTTATTGGTTTAAAAATACAATTTAATTAAAATGAATTATGATTTATGCCTTATGACTATACAGCCTATATACATACAGGTGTTATGATTGTACATTTGTACATAATAGGTATATTATCACCAGGTCTATAATTCTAAAATATATACTTAATAGTTGAATCATATAAATTTAATACATAGACCTACAAATAAACCTATATTAAAAAGTCTAAGATTTAATTTTTTTCAAAAAAAATTATAACGATTATCGAAAATTAAAAAGATGTGGCATTATTTGTAACACACTACTTTCTTAATGAAAAAGTGATGTAACGTGATAAAAATAATTTTAAGTAACTCAAATGTAATTTAAATTAAAAAAAAAAAAAAGGTGCTCTGCTATACAGTAGGTTACAAGGGGGTCACTACATAATGGATGGTATTAAATTTGAATTCAATAATATATCATTGTATAAGAAAAACGATTCTGAGCGGAGACGGTATGTCAGTCTAGGTATAAGACATATTACTATACTACATATTAGTATATTACATATATATATTACTTATCTATGGTATTAAAAAAAAAATTGACCTATAATAAAATAAAAATTAATCATATCACAATATCCATTAGGTACGTATAATGCGTTGTACGTCAACAACAAACCCTGATACTATCATAGTCCATACTCCATAGATATATAATATAGTGTACTTTAGAAGTTTCAAGTACCCACGA